ATAACATGATCAGAACATTTATGGTAAATGGAAACGTAACAGACAAGAAAAAAAAAACGTATGCGAAACTAATCTATTGACTATACTTATTCCATAGATTTTTATTTGATTCAAGCATTAATAAAAATGATATCAATATATATAGCAAGAACCAAAAAAAAAGTATCTCAAACTCGGTCAACTTCGTAACATCTGCGTTGTTTCTGTAAAAAAAGAAAAATAGCAGCAAGTTATACAGTAATATAGTAAAAATAACAAACTTTAATACTAATAAAAATAATTGTTAATAAACTAATGTTACAGTAATTTAAATGACAAATTGGCTGGTTTTTCCAGATGCAATGTAAATTAAAAAAAAAAAAATAACAATAATAATAATAATAATAATAATAATAATAATAATATATAACATCATATCATATTTTAGTATTTATTTTATTTGCTGTATTTGTTATGTAGTAGAAAGCGTAGGATTCATAAAACGAAAATAAAAACAATAACAAACTTTAATACTAATAAAAATAATTGTTAATAAACTAATGTTACAGTAATTTAAATGACAAATTGGCTTGTTTTTTCCAGATACAATGTAAATAAATAACAATAATAATATAATAATAATAATAATAATAATAATATATAACATCATATCATATTTTAGAATTTATTTTATTTGCTGCATTTGTTATGTAGTAGAAAGCGAAAACGAAAATAAAAACCGTCCAATAATATTAATTGATAGTTTAGTAATAATAGTATTAATTTTACTTGCTTTTAAGTAGCCTGTTGTTACTTATTAGAAATACAACAAAACATAAATGAAAAAAATATGATAAACCGATTGACGAACTTGCAATGATAGTTAGGCCTAGTTATATTAAATTTAGCGTTTCGAAACTCCATTGGCGCCCCATGTATTTGTTGAAAACAAACCGCGACCGAAATGAAGCGCGACCGAAACGAAGCGCGACCGAAACGAAGCGCGACCGAAACGAAGCGCGACCGAAACGAAGCGCGACCGAAACGAAGCGCGACCGAAATGATCTGTATTCGTAGTAGAGACCTGTACGTTACAGGTTCTTATAGGCCTAGGCATACTACTACTAAATAGGCCTAGTCTACTCCCCCTCTAGCTATCTAAAGTTAGTCGGAGGAGGGCTAGGGCCTAGGCCTAGCTTGGCTTTTTAGGGGCTTAGTCTAGCCTAGCCCTAAATTGAGGCACGACCAATCTGTCCTGCAGCAGTACTGGTATTTTATGGACTGGTGGTAGACAGGCCTAGGGCCTAGGTAGGCAAGGCTATGGAAGGAGGACAAATGCGTAATGCTGTAAAAATTATAAATAGTATGCTATTATTAACAATGCTGTCATATAAATTATTTATCCGGTAAATGTACTTATTACTGACCTTATATTGTATACCGAAAGTGATGACTGGAGGTGGTGTAAGATCGATCAACCGAGTAGGCACAGCCGCTACAAAGAGGCAAAGTGTGTGTGCGCCATAGAAACGTTTAATAGCTCTATGGTGTGCGCTTGGTGTCGTCATGATAACCGTATAGAGGGCGGTAAACACTTTGCCGTTTAATTAATAATTATTTTCATCCATGCTTGTGTAATTACAGTACAAGGGCCGGATTTATCGAACTAGAAATCAGCTTAAAATCTTCTCCTTTTTTTTTTTTCGCTTAAGCCAGATTTATCAACATTGCTTAGCTTAAAAAAATGTTTAAAATTAAAAAATAGATTGTACGCATGCACCATCTAAGACGATTTTAAAGCTAAGATGGTTTGATAAATCAGCATATTTGCTTAGGGACATCTTAACTTTTTTGACTTAAGACATCGGCTAAGCTGAGATTCTTTGTAGTGTAGTGAAATTTATATAACAAAAATGATAATGATGCTCTCATATTATACTGGCTAACGAAATCTGGTGATCAAAATCAAGGGTTATCAAGTTCGCCATGTATGTGAAACATTACCTAAACTCGCTGCTCAATGGAGGGGCAACAACTCG